CTCAAATTCTCAAGACTCGGGCAAGCCATGGATTTATTTGACTTGGCTCAGCTGTCCACCCTGTGTCCAAATAGCTGTCTCTATTATAAAGATAAGGCTTTAGATTATCTGAGAAGGAGTTATAGACAGAACAAGCAAATTAACTGAAATGTCTATGATGGACATAGACCAGTCATAGAAGTAAACATGTGTTTGGAAAAAATATGCAACCTCATCATTAGCAATCAAAGAGACAGAAATTTAGTGGCAAGGGACTTTTTTTGCCTCTTAAATCATGAAAGATTAATGATAATCCATGCTGACACACTGCTGAAGATAGGACAAACTGGTGTGGAAAACAATTTTGCAATATGTATTGAGGACCTTTAAAATGGACATAACCTTTGATATAATAATTCTACTTCTAGGAATCTATCCTAAGGGAATAAATAATCTTTGTAGTATTATTTGTATACAAGAAAAAATATGAACAGTATAAGTTTCCAACATTGCAGCAATGTTTAAGTAAATTGATACACTCATATGATGAACATGCTATCCTTAAAAATCATGTTGTGGAAAAGTAGTCAATGAATGAGAAGTTCTCATAGTATAATGTTGAGTGAACAAAGCAGGATACAATATTCTAGGTATAGTATGAAAGGGAAAAATTGAGATTTGAGATACTAGGAAGAAAGAAGTCAAAATCATAGCAATCTTAATGGTGGTTATATCTGAATGAGAAGAGTGCAAATTATTTCAGTTTTTATTTTTCATTTTCTTTATACATTTTTTTGCTTTTTTTACATTTTCTGAAAGAGAATAAACTTGAGTTTTGTAATCAGAATAAAATCATGAATGTTATTTAAAATTAAAAGAAGTGGAGTAAAAGGGGAGACTCCCAAATATTAAAACATATTTAAAATTTAAGTCAGTATGGTACTGACATGAGAAATAAACATGGAATAAATAGGATAGAAATAGATCTTTGTACCTATGAGAATTTAATATATGATATGGGGGCTTCACCAAATAGTAAAGGAAAGATTATACCATAATTGGCTCAGTTATGAGTGGTACCCAGGAGTGCTGCTGTGCCAGGCACTATGCTGAGTTTTTTTACGTGCATTTTCTCCTTTACTTACTACACCTTTTGAGATGAAGGTAGTATTATCCCCATTTTAGAGATGAACGACTAAAGTCCCTAGAGTTTAAAGCATTCGTTCAGAGTCACATAGAAAAGAAGTTGTGGAACCTAGATTGGAACCAAGTATGTCAGACTCCAAGTCTGCATTCTTTGCTACCACATTCTGTGTATATAAAGTTCTTGGCACGGTATCTAGAATACAAAAGGCATTTAGTAAATGTTATTCCTATGAGTAACTTTTAGGTGCTGCATATGTTATAATGTAATAAATAATACTTGTATATAGTGTGTATAATAATGTAAATACTACTAATAGTAATAAGATGTCATCTTGTCATTGAGATTGAGGAACTTCCTTGGGAAATTAGTAATGCTGTAGTTTTTCCACAGAAACTACCTATTGGAATCATATAATTAAAAAAATAGCACATAAGGAGCATCACTAAATATTGGTTGATTTAATAATTAGTATTTCCTGCTGTCTCATTTATGTCTCTCTCACTCCTCTGACTCTTTGAACCCTATACTCTCTGTCTCATAATTCATTCAAGGCTGGTTGAATAGCAATGCTGGCCAAAAGATGGAGCTAGCATTTCCTTCTGAATATCCTGACATTGACTTATTTTTCCAGCAAACATTTAGTGAGCGGCCATTCTGCCATGCACCATACTAAGATTAGAGAGACTTGAAAAATTGCAAATTAACATTAACGTATAAACCAAACAAAACAAAAAATTCAAATCCCTAGGAAATTAAATGTTCCCTCCTCTGTGAGGCATTCTCTGATTCTCCCAGGTAAATTAGTCACTTTCTCCTTACAGCACCCAGAACAATCTGCTCAACTTGTAAAATCACATTCTTCCTGTTGTATTAGTCTTTCTGTGAGCCTGCCTCTCCTACACTTGACTCCTTTAAGAGTTCCTTTAGGTCAGTTTTTCTTTCGTAGTGGTCAGGATGTGACTGGTACACTTCTCCTTTGGAGGATTTTTGTTGAGGTTTTTTGGGTTTTGGTTTTTCTGGCATGACCTGATTGATACATTCAGTCAGTCCCCCAATAAATATTTACTGATACCTACTCTATGCCATGTACTATGCTATACAGTTCATAAAAAATAGAAGTAATAAACAAGACAATAGACAAGGACAAACAAACAAGGTCCTAAACCTCATAGGAACTCACATGGGCACTTGAAAAGAGTATGTTTTCTTTGTACAAAATCAGTCACACATTTGAACCTTATTTATTGTATTAATCAAATCTTCTGTGACTTTAAATTTATTTTAGGTATATTTTACATGTCATAGCTTGATGGTAGTATACTAAAGTCTCTCACTGTAATTGCATTTTCTGTTCATTTTCTTCTATTTTTGCTTTACATTTTGCCAACAAAATAAGATGAAAAGATTAAAAGTAAAAGAATAGGCAAAGGTAAATCAAGGAACTACAAATCAAAAGAAACAATATTAATAGATAATATAGTCCTCAAGTCAAAAAAAGCATTAAGGAGGACAAAGGAGAATATTTTATATTGGTAGAAGGTAAAAGCTATGAATTATGTACTACATAATATAACATCAAAAAATCTTAAATAGATTATAAAGTATGCTTAAATTTTCCAAGTAGAGAATGTGTGGGCAGGGAAGAGGATGGAAATTGTTCTGGGCAAAGGGAAGTTTTGTGTGGCCTGGGAAGCTCAATTATTTAGAATTTAGTTCCTAAAGAAGCAACAGGGCTTGTTGGCATGTCCTGCAATCCCAGAACCATCCTGGAGTTCAGAGAAATGACAGTTTGGGCTTGAAGAAAGAGTAATGGTGGTAGGGCTGCCTGCATTGTGATCATGCCAGATGAGGAACAGCAGGTTAGAGATTTGAAGTCAGGCTGTCTGGCTGCAAAGCCCAGGCTTTTTCCATGGTACCATACTGCCTCCTGGTAGTAGTAACTAGGCCAGGGTCCCTAGGAACCTATCCCATGTGCCACTCAGAGGAGACCAGCCCTTGCTTTAAATGCCAAGTTTCTGAAGTCTCACACAGCTCCAATAATTATGAATGATCATTGTCTTGTGGGCCTTCAGGGAGCTAAGGACATAGACTTTGTACTGATGTATTTGTATTTTTTCATCTCTCTCTCTCTCTTCCTCTTTCTGTATTCTTGGTGCCTAGAACAGTAAAGCATATTCAGTTCATGAAATTCAATTCAAATACTCATCAATGAGTACTTACTTATTTAATTAGTGGATTTCCTGTCTTGGGGAATAGCCCCATCATCCAGCCATCTGCCTAAGCCAGAATTCTAGGAATCTTAGACTTCCCTTTTATTATCTCCTTCCCATAAAATCCATGACCAGATCCTATGGATTTATCTCCTTACTAGCTCTTGTCTTTGTCCCCTGGCCCCCTCCATCCCTTCAGCCGGTGCCTTTGTTCCAACCTCTTTGGCCACAGATTGCTGCAGTTGCCTCCCGACTAGTATCCATGACTCTTGTCTCTTACCCTCTGAGCCAGTCAATATCAAACCAGTCAATATCACTCTTCTGCTGACAATCCTTAAGTGTCTTATATTTTTATGATGAAGGTCCACATTCCTTAATACTGTTTTTGAGACCCTTTATGATCTGGCCTACTTTTTTTCCCCTAGTTTTATTGAAAAACAATTGGTATACATCACCTTGTAAGTTTAAGGCACACAGCATGATGGTTCTATTTACATATATTTTGAGATGATTACCACAATAGGTTTAGTTAACATCCTTCATCTCATATAAATACAATAAAAAGAAGAGGAAAAAAATTCTCCTTGTGATGAGAACTCTTAGGATCTTCTCTCTTAACAACTTTCCTATATATCATACAGCAGTGTTAACTGTAGTCATCATGTAGTACATTACGTCTCTAGCATGTCTTTGTACCTTTTGACCACCTTCCTCCAATTCCCCTGCCCCCCACCCTCCGCTTCTGGTAACCACAAATGTGATCTCTTTTTTTTTATGTTTGGTGTGTTTTTTAAATTAGATTCCACATATAAGTGAGATCATACAGTATTTGTCTTTCTGTCTGACTTATTTCACTTAGCATAATGCCTTCAAGGTCCATCCGTGTTATTGCAAATGGTAGGATTTCCTCTTTTTTTATGGATGAATAATATTCCATTGTATCTATATACCACAACATCTATATCCATTCATCCATTTATGGACACTTAGGTTGTTTCCATGTCTTGGCTATTGTAAATAATGCTGCTATGAATACGGGGGAGCAGATATCTTTTTGAATTAATGTTTTCGTTTCCTTTAGGTATACTCCCAGAAGCGGAATTGCTGGATCATATATAGTAGTTCTATTTTTAATTTTTTGAGGAACCCTCATACTGTTTTCCATAGTCTGGCCTACTTTCTAATCTCACCTCCTGTCACTGCAAACCTGCTTAGCTCCAGCACTGCAGAACCTGGTATATCATTCTGAACTCCACACCTCCATGCCTTCACACATACTGTTCCCTCAGCCTAGAATATCCTTTCCCCACCTTTTCTCTCACTAATTTCTACAGGCCCTTTGGAACTCAGCTCCTGATGATTTTTTTTCAGGATGTCCTCCTTCACTCTTCCAGTCATAGCCCTCTTCTGTGCACTCGTAGCACCGTGTGCATTCTTCTGTCTTGGTATTTAACACACTGTCCTGTCATTGTTGACGTACATGCCTGTATCCTCTACCACCCAGACTGCAAGTAACCAAAGGCAGAGATTCTTTTACTTTATTCCATTGGAATTGCCAAAACCTAGCCTAGGATCTGGCCCATGATAGTTTCTTAGCTTAATAAGTATTTGTGAGATGGATAGATAAACTTTTGTGGCTTAATAATGATACTTCCATTTTCTAGGTACATGGTTCAATGGCCTGGTGGCCGAATCCTGCATCGCCATGAGTTAGACACCTTCCTTGCACAGGCAGTGTCTACCCAGCTTTATGAACCAGATCAACTTCAAGAACTCAAGGTGATTTGATCCATCCTCATTTAAATTCTTTCTTTTATGTGCTCATAGCTTTACTTTAGGTCATTTTTCCTGGAGCTGGGGAGAAGAGTAGGTTCTACAAGTAAATGTTTGATTTACTTTAGCCAAATATTTATGTCTATTAATAAAACCAAGAGGTACCTGCAACACTGTTCCCATACTGATGGGTGAGAATGGACCGAAAAGATGGATATTGTGCGAGACAAATAAGTTGTGGCCCATAGACCACAGTAAGGTTTCTGACTCTTGCAAGATACACTACAGGGAACTTATCCTGGTGTCCTCTGTTTGTCTCTGAGTAAATGTCCACCCTCCCCTTTTAATGATACTTTTAGGCTATTAGAGGGAAGTCTAGAAAAGCATAAGGAAGAAAATAAATCTACCATATAACTGAAGACAGTAGAACATAGTAGGTTAAAGGGGAGGCTCTGAAGCCAGGCTGCCTTGGGTTTGAATCCTAGCTTCATTGCCTCCTAGCTGGGTGACCTTGGGCAGGTTGCTTAACCTCTCTAGTTTCAGTCTCCTTACTTGTAGAGTTATAAGGATATTAAATAAAATAGTCCATGCAAAACACTTAGAACAGTGTCTCACATATTTTAAGTACACAGTACTCAATAAATATTAGCTATTAATGTAGGACAATCCTCTCCCAACTTCAGTACCCATGACCCTTTGAGGTCCTAGGATAAACTAGAAGAATATCAAGTCCAACAAGACTTGCAAAATCTTAATTTAAGTGAAGTCAACTAGGAGAAAGATGAAACAGTCTAAGGCAAACAGTGGGTGGTTCCTTTTTACAGTAAATGTAATATTGCTTGGTCCTAGAGCTGTTACCAACTCCAGACCACACCTAGGAGGGGACCTGCAAGTATTTCCCCTTTTCCTATTAAAGCCATATAACACACCAACTTGAGGTAACCACTATGAACATTTTGATGGTTCCTTCCAATCTTTCATCATGTATTTTTTACATAGTTGAGATATTGTTTATGTAATTATATATTATATATTTTTACTTAACATAGCACATATTTTTTATGTCTTAAAAATTTTTAGTAAATAATATTTTATCATATAGATATATCATTTAATTATTATAATGTTGGCCATTTGGTTTCCAGTTTTCCCCTATTATATGTAATGTTATAATTAACATCTTTATGCACTGAGCTTTATTCACATCTGTACTTCCTTAGAATAGATTCCTGCAAGTAGAATTTCTCAGTCAACAAATGTGAACATTTTCAAGATTCTTGATACATATTGCTTAATTGTAATATACATTCCTCATCAGATTTATATGAGTGTGCCCATTTATTTCACTGTATCTTCATTAGCATTGGGTGTTTTTTGGGTCTTTAGTTTTTAAATATTTTCTAATTTGACAGGCAAAAAAAATTGGTATCTCAAGTTGGTGTCTTTTAAAATTTTAAAGCTGATGTCTTTTTTTTTGTGACGAGTATCTTTCAAATAGTCTCAGGGAAAGACAGGGATAGAAGCTGCTTGTGCACTCAAATGTCTATGTTGAAAGGCAACATGTTCAAATTTAACTGGAATAATCAGTATGGCAGGAATAAGAGTAAATGTAACTGATAACAATAGTTTTTTTTTTTTTAATTTTTTGTTTATTGCAGTAACATTGGTTTACAACATTGTAAAAATTTCAGGTGTACATCACTACACCTCCACTTCTGCAC